AAGGGAGGACAGATTGGGGAAGATGGTAGTCAGAAGCAAAACACTTTTGAGGAGGGCCAGGGTGACAGGAGAGAGAAAATAGAATAAACTGGGGGAGGGATAGGATGGAGAGAAATATACTTAGTAATCATAACAGTTTCTCTGATAAAGGCCTCATTTCTCAAATATATAGAAAACTGAGTCAAATTTATTTTTAAAAAAACATTCCCCAATTGATAAGTGATCAAAAGATAGGATAAATTTTCAGATGATGTAATCAAAACTAACTATAGTGATATGAAAAAATGCTCTAAATTACTGTTGATTGGACAAATGCAAATTAGAACAATTCTGAGATACTGCCTCATACTGGTTAATATGTTAGAAAAGGAAAACGACAAATGTTGGAGTGGATGTGGGAACATTGGAACATACATATTAATACTTTGTTGTTGGAGTTGTGAACTATCCACTGCACCACCCAGCTGCCCCTGCTCATAATTTCTTATAGCACGATAGTATTCCATCACAATCATATACCAGAACTTATTCAGCCATTCCCCAATTGATGTGCATCCCCTCAATGTCCAATTCTTTGCCACCAGAAAAGAGCTGCTATAAATATTTTTGTACATATAGGCCCTTTCTCTTTTTGTTTTCTATCTTTTTTTAAGATACAAACCTAGTAGTGGTATTGCTAGGTCAAAGGGTATGCATGGTTTTATAGCCCTTTGGGCATAGTTCCAAATTGCTCTACAGAATGGTTGAAACAGTTCACAACTCCAACAACAAAGTATTGATATGTATGTTCCAATGTTCCCACATCCACTCCAACATCTGTCACTTAACACTTACTAACTGTGTGACCTTGGGCAAGTCACTTAACCCCATTGCCTAGCCAAAAAAAAAAAAAAGAAGAAGAAAAAAAAGAAATGATGAGCAGGACACTCTCAGAAAAACCTGGAAAGACTTGCATGAACTTATGCAAAGTGAAACGAGTACAACCAGGAAAACTTGTACATAGTAACAGCAATATCATAAGATAATCAGCTGTAAATGACTTAGCTCTCCTCAGTAATACAATGATCCAAGACAACTTTGAGGGACTTAGGATGAAAAATATTATCTATCCCCAGAGAAAGAAATGATAGTCTGAATACAGATCAAAGTGAACTTTATTTACTTTATTTTTGTTGAGGTTTTTTTTTTGGGGGGGGAGGTCTATGTTTTCTTTTACAATAAGACTAATATGGAAATATATTTTGCATGACTACACATGTATAACCTATATCAAATTGCTTGCTTTCTGAATGAGAGGTGAGGAAGGAGGAATGGAGAGAATTCAGAACTCAAAATTTTAAAACAAATATTAAAAATTGTTTTAACATGTAATTGGGAAAAAATAAAATTCTAAATAATTTTTTTGAAAAAGGAAAAAATAAAACTGCAAAAATGTTGTTTGTCTTTTAAGACACTTTGATCATGGTTGTTTTTTTTTTCAGTCATAGCCTAAATTGCAATCACTTTAGAATTTCAGCAATTTATGTTTAAAATGTATATTACCATTGTAAAAGCTGTTCCTATAAGTAATATTGGTGAGAATCGTGATAGAAATACAGTTCTTTTGATTTGTGAATTATTTAGTATTAACTCTTTCCAGATCCTGAAAAATGAAGAGTAAACAAAGAAGAAAGAAAGTATGATTGTTAATTTGGGAAACTGCTTTGAGTTGATCTCTGCAGGCAACGATCCCTATTGTTAATGTCAAATTCCGGCTTTTTGTAAACTGTTAATGGAGTTGGGAGAATCCAGGACCCCGATCCTGGGCTTCAACAGGTCTCCTAAAAGGTTTTTGTAATTACTAAAAAAAAAAAAATCTTAACGAATTTTTCAAAAAAAAAAGGATTTATCCCACAAACTAGAAATAAGTAGTGCAGGTTCCTTTCTCCTTTTAGAAGAATGAGAGAGGTTTAGAGCTCTTTGATTTAGTAATTAACATCTGGATTGCAGCTAATCGTGCTTTTAATTGTGATAGGTAAATTAATGAAGAAAAAGCAACTGGATTGAAATTTACTTTATAGCGTGGGAAGGTTTAACAGCAGTGAGTGAAGTTGAAATGTACAAGAAAGTCTGTGTGATGTGTTTGAAAGATTTGGAAAGAGGAATAAAAGCTGAGGGGAGACATGGGAGGTAGGTAAGAAGGCACACCCTGCCCACAGCAGGCGGGGGCAGTAAGATAGTGCTCCAAGCCCCTCTGGTCCATGGACGGCGGTTCCCGGTGCCCCGCGTGCTAGCTTCAGATGGGCAAGTTTGCCTTCTGTGTGAGTACAATGAGAGTGAAAAATCTTGTAGCTTGATTTGAAAATCAATAACAGACGGTTATAGAGGGGTAAGAGGCATTCGATAAACGAGGTGTTCCTATGTGTCATAATTGTTGTAGAATGCTGTGACTTTGAAAATCTTTGCTGGTGGACCACATGGAAATAATGAATCCCATCCCATCAAATGCTTTGAATAAATAGTCCTTATGTAAAAATATATAAAGTGATTGAAATGATAAATTAAGGTTCTACATGATACCGTTTGGAAAATAGATCCAGGTGTAACTGGGATTCTCCTGCTCCGGACTACTTTTCCCAGCCCGGAACGCCGCCCGCTTTCTAGTCCCTGGACCGCTCTCGGTCAGTTGCCATGGAAACGATCACCAACGAAGAATGGGAGAGAAGGGGCTAAAGCAGCCGGAGCCGGGGCCCGGGCCACCTGATGGGGACTTGGGAGCCCCGCCGTCCCCTCTCCTCACCTGGTGAGAAAGGCCGCCTCGGCCGGTCCCTCCACCTGTCCCGGGGCTGCCCTGACCATCCGGCTGCCGCCCCTTCACCCGCCTCCCCAGCCTTCTGCCCCTTAGCATGTCGCCCCTTCTGCCCCCTCTTTCTCCTCGTCCCTCTCTTCTCCTCCTCCCTCTTTCCACCACTCCTCCCCTTTCCCCGTAGCCGCTTAACTCCTTCCCACTCATCGGTTTCCCGCTTATCCCTTTCCCACTTTTCCCTTTCCCACTTTTCCCTTTCCCGCGCATCTCCTTCCCGCTCATCTCCTTCCCGCGCATCGCTTTCCCGCGCATCGCTTTCCCACTTTTTTCCTCCCCACTTCTTTCTCTTCTTTCTTCTTTCTTCTCCTTTCTCCCTATCTCCTCTTCCTTCCCTTCCTTTTCCCCTTCCCTCCCTTCATCTTTTCTCCCCATTTCCCTCCTCTCCTCCTCCCCTCTTCCTTCTTGTCCCCTTTCCTTCTTTCTCTTCCCTTTCCCTCCTTTCCTTTTCCCTCCTTGCCTTCCCTCCTTCCCCCTTCCCTTTCTTTCCTTCCCTCCTCTCTCTCTCTCTCTCTGTCTGCTTGTCTGTCTCTTTCTCTCCTTCTTTCTCTCTCCCCTTTGCCTCCTCCCCTCTTCTTTCCTTCCCCTCCTTGCCTCCCCTCCTTCCCCCTTCCCTTTGTCTCCTTTCCTCTTCTCTCTTTCTCTTTCTCCCTTTGCCTCCTCCCCTCTTCTTTTCTCCCCCTCCTTCTCCCTCCTTGCCTTCACTCCTTCCCCCTTCCCTTTCTTTCCTTTCCTCTCTCTCTGTCTCTCTCTCTGTCTCTCCTTCTCTTTCTCTCTCTGTCCCTCTCTCTCTCTCCCTCCCTCCCTGCCTTCCCCTCCTCCCCTCTTCTTCCCTTCCCCTCCTTCTCCTCCCTTGCCTCCCCTCCTTTGCCTTCCCTTTCTTCTTTCCTCCTCCCCTCCCTCTTCTCTCTCTCCCTCCCTCCCTCTCTCTCTCTGTCTCTCTCCTTTTGCTTCTTCCCTTCTTCTTTCCTTCCCCTCCTTTTCTCTCCTTGCCTTCCCCCTTCCCCCTTCCCTTTCTTTCCTTCCCTCCTCTTTGTCTCTCTCTCTCTCTCTCTCTCTCTCTCTCTCTCTCTCTCTCTCTCCCCCA